CAGCCCGACCCCCGACCCGTACTCGGCCTCGTAATTGGCTTTTCTGAGACCCCTACAGTGCCTTTCGCAAGCCGTGCATTGGCCAGCCGCCTCACGAGGTCGGAGCGAGCGAGCGAGGGACCCGGGGAAAGGGACACCCTCAGACCTTCATGGTTTGCACGCTTTGGGGAGTGAGTCCAGGAACTCTTAATAGGACACCCCGCACCCACCCCACCCCCTACACACACACAGACCCTTTTGGGAGGGGAGTGAAAAATGAGAATCAAAAGCGAATTATCCCATTCTCCCCTTTGAATTAACAGGTTGTCTGGCAAAAAATCAAGTATTTCTAAAATGGCCCGTTGAGGCTTCCAGGAGACCTTGCCGGTCCAGTTTTCAGACGAAAGTTTTCAAACTTGACGTTTTATCTTCTAATTCTAATAAAGCGTTACCCTCTTTCTTTCAGATGGTCAGTGGGCACCTGGTGCTCCAGGAAGGAGTTGCCATTAGTCCAGTTGGTCCAAACACGATTGTTGACCTAAACTGCCCCACAAAGACAGGCCCCTGCTCTTCTTGCTTCTGGGCGTTTCTTCAGTGTCCTAACTGTGCCTTTGCTTAGGAGGTAGGGGTAATGAACAGTTGTTTACTTGTTAGGAGTCACTTTTAAAAGCAGTGTCAACCAGCTAGTATAAGGTATGACTGGCCCTTCTACTGCATCTGGATCTCCTTGATAACAAGTCAGTTTACGCAACATTTTTGCGTGCTTTTGCCGAATGAGTGTATTTGGTGTGGGACTAAGTTGCTCCCTACTAATGTGAGTTCTTTTGGGAATTCAAATTTTTCAACATTTAAGGAGAGATGCTGAAGCTGTCCATTCGGACTCTTAGCACAGGTAGTAACCTGGCCCCCACCGGTGTTCTCTTGACCTGGGCCTTCCTCCTTTTCATTGCTTTTGTTGGGGAAAAATGGATACAGGTGGGCAGAGGTGGCATGAAAATGTTGTAGACTCAGTCAGACACTATTAACTTCAGCAAATCTTGCTCTTTATGTTAGCCATGTCATCCAGAAAACACTGGCCATCATGGCCTAGTGTTTGAGAGTTTAGACTCCACTGCAGGGCACTCAGAAGGTAGAGGCTGGTGGATCTGTGTGAGTTTGAGGCCAGCCTGGTCTACAGAGCGAGTTCTAGGACACCCAGGGCTATACAGAGAAGCCCTGTCTTGGAAAACAACAACAAAAAACCCCAAACAAAAATGTTTAGACTTCAGAATCACACTTGAATTTGTCCCCTATCTTATTATTCTCATGATGTGGGGGTTGGGCAGATTATTTAAAATTTCTGTGCTTCAGTTTGCACTTGTGAGCTTCCAAAAGGAGCCAATACATTAAACACTTGAATATTGGCACTTACTAAAGACATACTGCCCCTCCTCTTTTGTAAGGTATCAGAAATGGGAGGTATCTGTGTCCCACAGACAGATGATAGGAGAGGGTTGGGAGTGATGGGAGGAGGATCTCAGTCCCTCTGTGACCCTCGGAAATGTTTCCTCAGTTGCTGCTCAGGGGACTAATGTAAAACTTGTGCATTTGGTTATGTTGCTTGTGTGTTCCCTTCCCTTTGGATTAAAATGGCCACCCCTCATCCTCCTTTCATTCCACACCTTGCCCCTACCTTGGCTGTAGTTATTTCAAAAACGTGGATGGGGAGCCGACTGTGAGCATTGCCACAGTATCAGTCCGTCTTTCCTCTTGAGCCCACAGCGGCTGTGAAATCGCATCTTCCTTTAGCTTTGGGGGCCTGTGTACTGTGCTGCCTAGGTTCTGCGGTGTTAAGACTCAGAATCGCATCGTGAGGGTGACTGGTCACTGCCCTCCAAGTGTGGACCGCATCTGGTTGTAGCAGATCTTTCCTGTTTTCACTGGCTGCTTCCCTCTGCTCTTAGTTACCAGGATGGCTTAAGCCTGGGTCTTGAGCCACTGTGCTCTCTAAATTTACTCTTGGGGAATGTGTTCTTTATCAAGCTGTCACCTTTCATATCTTCACTGACAGTTTCCAAAACTTTTCTGTGTGTTCCAGCTCCCTCTGTTAACTGTCAGCATCTCTTATTTGCCTTTCTCCCAGACCCAGCTCATCTGGATTGACTGTCCCTCCCTGCTTTACCCACACATAACTCCCACTTGGTTGTGAGCCACCATGTGGTTGCTGGGAATTGAACTCAGGACCTCTGGAAGAGCAGCCAGTGCTCTTAACCCCTGAGCCATCTCTCCAGTCCCTCATTTTATTTAAAACTGCTTCATTGTTGATATCATAGGCCTGACATGTGTATTCACTTGTTTACATAATTTTTTCTTAAAATCATGAGATACAGTGGTGCATCTTACATACAGCAGATTTTTCTTAAATCACGTCTGTCTGTCTGTCTGTCTGTCTGTCTGTCTATCATCCATCCGTCTATGTATCTGTCTCTGTATGTCTCTACTGTGGGGGCGCACACATGCAGAGGTCAGAGGACAGCTTTTCTCCTTGCCCCATATGGGTTCTGGGGATTGAACTCAGGTTACCAGGCTTGGTGGCAGGGGTGTTTGCCTGCTGAGCCATTTTCCAGGCCAGATTCACTGTGTAGTCTTGACTAGGGTCTTTCATTGCTCTGTGCTTCAGTTTTCCCAGGGTAAATCTGGGCAATAATCGTGGTTCTGTAAGGCTGTGAGGATCAAGAGTCAAGGAAACAGACTGCTGCCTTTCATGTAGGCCATAAGGTCTCCATGACTGACCCACGGAAGCTTGCTCTGCTCACTGTGTGGCAGGTTGAGTCGTTCCCACTCTTCTTGAAGAGCAGCCGCCAGTCCTGCCTCCTGTGGAATCCAGCTTGTGAGCTGGAAGGGCTCTCATGTCTGACTGACATGCTGCTGCTTATCTTCACTGCCGAGGGCTTTAGTCCGGGGACATACAAGGGACTGATTTCATTTGCAGGCAGTCCTTCCTCCATATTGCTGGGCCCACCTGCATATTTAACTAAGCACGGACGAAAGACGCTAGGAAACAGCTGCATATATGCACTGCATGTGTACAGTCTTTCCTTGTCATTCTGAAACAGTACAGAGGGATGGACTGACTGTCTCTGTGGCCTTGCGTTGCAGTAGGCATTGTGAGTGATCTAGAGGGTTAGAGTGTGCTGGGGGATGTGGGTGGGCTTCTCTGCAGTTGTGGAGCCAGTGTGAACAGCTCCAGGTGTTAGTGTGAGGCGTGCCCTGGCATGGATCCCCTCATTAACCTTAGGTCTTTCTTTTCACTTCATTACTGCTTTTGGTTATAAGATAGTTAAATATTTTCACCAGCTTCTTTGAGAGCAGGCAAACCAGTAGACCCTTCCTTCCCAGAAGGATTTTCATGTGCCCCTGTTGAATATTGGCACAGTTAAGAGTTAATATTTTTCTTATTTTGTTTTTCTTAGTTTATACTCTAAGCAATATTATTGAATATAAAACGTAGCCCCCCCCCTTTTTTTTTTGACAGGATTTCTCTGTGTAGCCCTGGCTGTCTTGGAACTCATTTTGTAGACCAGGTGGCCTTGAACTCAGAGAGCTGTCTGCCTCTGCCTCCTGAATGCTGGAACTAAAGGCGTGTGCCACTGCACCCAGCCATAGCTTACCTCTTAAAAACTGCTTTTCTAGGAAGCATAGAGGTTGTTTTGTTTTTTTTTAATCCTTATTAGGGTTTTGTTTTAATGTACAGAATATAGACATTTTTACTAATTGGAGCAGCCATTAAGCATCTTATGATAGTGTTCACACCAAGTTAAGACACGGAAATGGTAGTGTGCTTCCTTGGAAGGCCTTCTGATTTCTTCTTTTAAGTCTAACATTTAAGAACACTCTTAACAGGGCCAGAGAGATACCTCAGCTTTAAAGAGCACTCTTACAAAGGATGTGGGTTTGATTTGCTGCACAGACACAGTGGTTCACAGACACAGTGGTTCACAACATCTGTAATTCCAGTTCTAGGGAATCTGATGTCGTCTTTTGGCCTTTGTGGGTACTGCACGAAAGTGATGTACATTATAAATGTTGGCAAAATACCCATGCAGATAATAATCAGTAACACTTAAAATATTGTTACCAACTTTGCTTTTTATTAATTCTAGTTAGTTAATGTATAGTTTTGTGTTGTAGATGTTCTCACCATAGACCAAATATTTTTAGGCTTCCTTTTCAATTCTAGTATGTAATTATATTTGCTTAGTCTTTTTAAGATTTATTTTTATTATTTTAAGTGTGTGTGTTTTGTGTGTGCATGCACGCACACACATGCGCTAGCCTGCACACACACACACACACACACACACACACACACACACACACACACACACACACACACACACACCTGGAAGGCAGAGGTATTCGGTTCTCTGGTGAGTTACAGGTGTTTGTGAGCTGCCTGATGTGGGTGCTAGGAACTGAACTCTCATCTCTGCAAGAATAATACATGCTCTGAGCCACTGAGCCATCTCTCTACCCTTCTTTTTAGATTCTTAAACCCTTGTCAGTAACTTGGGCTTGGGTATGTTATCTTTGAAAATAGAATTTGATGAGTCATAGTTTGGACTTGTCACCACTTTGGGTTCTTGCCAGGAGCCGTCCCCAGATAAATGTAGTTGTATTTACCGATCTCCAGACACAACTTTCTGAAGGGAAAGGGCTTGAGCAAAGGCCAGCTGCCTCTTTTTTGGAGTAGTCTTTGTTCCCCTTCACAGTCAGTGCCTTTTTAATGTTAATGGATAAAGTATTGTTGACTGATCTGTTCATGTGTTTAAAAAAGTACTTGCACAGTATTTTTAGATTTCTTCTGTGCAGGCTGTACCATTTATTTGACTGCTTTTTTGTTCCTCTGGCATTGCATTCTTTCTGAAAAAGTCCACTTTGGAAGCTATGAACTTGTCTTTGGTTTCTTCCATTTCATCCCATGTAGCTGACATTATTTTTATCAAATTTTATCTCTCTCTCTCTCTCTCTCTCTCTCTCTCTCTCTCTCTCTCTCACATTGAGACAAAAATCCACCCATCTAATGTCTGTAATTCAGTGGTTTTAGTGTACTCAGTGTAACTATCACTCTGTCTTGTTTTATATAAAAAAGAAACTGTATAATGTTAGGACTCTTTTCTTATCCCCCTCTCCAACCCAGACAGCCACTGGTTTATTTACTGTCACTGTGTCCTCTTGGATATCTTGTTGTTGCTGCAGTCATGGGGATCCTACAGCTGTGGTTCTGTAAGACCTGCCCCTTCATGTGCCCTAGCTGCTCATTGAATGGGGTAGGTGTTGGGGTGGGCCAACTCAAGGCCCTGGATTTGGGCTTGGGTGGTAGCTGAGCTGGCTAGCCCAAGTCTCTGCTGAGCCTTCCTCCCCGAAAGAAGCTCCCCCACAGTCCCACCATTGTCTACACTGATGCTGTGACCAGCTGTCCCATGCAGTGGCCTGTGAAGGGTAGGACATCAACATGGCTTCAGGCACGAGCCCAGACCACAGACATCTGAATGTCCTAGGTGGTAACTTGAGCCTCAGATCCAGACATAACCCCTAGCCACAGCATGGGCTGGACATCACCATGAACTCAGGTTACAGTGCAGGCCACTCAGATAAGTATGATACCTGGTGACAGTACTGCCTTGGATATCACCATGGCCTCAGGTGGCAGCTCAGACCACAGACATCCACATGGCCTTTGGTGTTAACATCGGTCACGGACATCAACACAGACCCTAGCTGCAATAGGACCATGGACCCAGACATGGCCCTGGTGCAGATACCACCTCAGGTGGCCTCAGGTGGCAGCCTAGACACTGGACATCAGAATGGACCTCAGCAGCAGCCTGGCGGAACATTACCATGGCCTCAGGTGGCAGCTCAGACCACAGACATCCACATGGCCTTTGGTGTTAACATCGGTCACAGACATCAACACAGACCCTAGCTGCAATAGGACCATGGACCCAGACATGGCCCTGGTGCAGATACCACCTCAGGTGGCCTCAGGTGGCAGCCTAGACACTGGACATCAGAATGGACCTCAGCAGCAGCCTGGCGGAACATTACCATGGCCTCAGGTGGCTGCACAGGCTCCTCACATCTGTCTGCTGTCCTTTGTCTCCCACCCCATCCCCCCACTCTGTCTTTCCCATCTCTCCATTTCGTATTTGTTCATTGTAGTGGTGCCTGCTAGCCATTCCGTGCTGCAGGGCAGGGGCTGGGTGTCTTCTGTTTTGTTTTTTCAATAAAGCCATCTTAGTGGGTGTGCCATGGTTCGTCATGGTTTTGATTTTCAGTTCCCCAACAACTAACTGACATCAGACATTTTAGGGGCTTGTTGACTGGGTGTCTTCTCTGAAGAAATCCACTCAAAGCTTTTTAAAATTGGATTATATTTCTTTGTTATTTAATTGTTAAAGATCTTTATTCTGGATACAAATACTAACAGATACATGATTCACAAATAATTCCATTTTGTGGTTTGTGCTTTATCTTTGATGGTATTATTTGAAAGGCAGACATTTAAAAATAGTTATTTATTTTATGTGTGTGGTGTATGTGTGTGTGTACACATGAATACATGCAGGGCTACTTGTAATTCAAGAAAAGCAGCGCATGAGAGAAAGACACCACATGACAGGGTTCAAGCAGAAGGGTTTTTTATTAATGAGGGAAAGGGATCATGAAAAGAGGAAAGGGAAGTGGGGAGACCAGTCTCGGAGACAGGAGAGCAGGAGAGAGGAGAAAGGAAAGAGGAGGAGAGAGGTGGCTGAGAGGTAGGCAGGGCCCCTTTTAAAAGGGGACATAGTGAATGTGCCCTCTTAGTGGCTGCAGCTGAGGGTGTATCCTGTCAGAACCCCAAGGACAGGCCAGTACAGGTGCCTGGACACTAACACTGCTTGCCTGTGCACATGGATGTAGAGGCCAGAGGGGAAGTTTAGATTTTATGTTTCCAGCTTGTTCCTGCCTGCTGACATCTCCTGAAGATCTTGCATGCTTTCCTGACTTCCTGGGTATCATTTCTCTGAGTGAGTGACTTCTCAGATTGTGCTATATATCCTATTTAAAATGTCTTATTGTTAAATCTGGTAGTACTCTGAAACTGGAACAGGGCGTCATTGTTTTGTGTTTTAAAATAACTGTTCCCTTCTCTTGTGCACCAGTGCTCGGTGATGTTGCCAAGACAGAACCACACTAGATATCTGTTAGCCTGTATTTATTTTGAGACATACATAGTAAGAACCAGGAATTTTAAGTGTGAGCTGGAACATTTCAGTGTTAGGCTATTTTAAGAGACCAGGAAGCTCAGCGAAGCTGGGGCCGGTTGAATGGTGCACCTGAAGGCACATAGATGGATGGCTCTCACAACCCGAGTTCTAGTGCTATTGCTTCTTGACATCTTCTCAGTCCTGGTTTCCTTCTGATCTGTATGAAGATAGTATCCTCCAGGTCTTTTCTTTTCTTTTCTTTTCTTTTCCTTTTTTCCCTCTTCCTTATAAACTTTGTCTCAAATTTAACTATCTTTCTGGATTTCAAGAACTTGTGGTTTGGATCGACTAGAGTGGAAAAAAACAGTAATTTTGCTTCTTGGTGCCACTTTGGAAATGATTTTCTTTCTTTGTTTTTTTTTTTTTTTTTTTTTCGAGACAGGGTTTCTCTGTGTAGCTTTGGAGGCTGTCCTGGCACTCGCTCTGGAGACCAGGCTGGCCTCGAACTCACAGAGATCCGACTGTCTCTGCCTCCCGAGTGCTGGGATTAAAGGTGTGCACCACCAACATCCAGCGGTAATGATTTTTTAAAGCATCAGAAAATGGTCAGGGATTAGAAACCAGATAGCCTCATTTACGTTCTTGCTAACAGCAATCCAATTTAAAATTGCCCTGGAATTTAAAGGTTAACTATAGAAAGACCCAGGGGGGTTTGTTGTTGTTGTTGTTGTTGTTGTTGCTGCTTTCCTCTTTAGGCTTTATTTTTATGGTTTTTAGTTGGGGTGGGAGTATGCACACTGAAGTGCAGACGGCTGCAGAAGGCAGAATGAGGTGTTGGGTCCCTGGAGCTGGACTCAGTGTGAGCTAACTAACATGGTGATGGGAACTGAGCTCTGGTCCTCTGAAAGAGTGGTAATGCATGCTTTTCAACCCTGAGCCCTCTCTCCAGGACCCCATCTGTACCCTTGCCCCTTGTGCATCTAGGTGGGAGATTTGATAGGCACCTCACATGAGATTGATGATACAGTCAGGGCTGTGCTTTGATTTCTGTTTTAACTTCCCTGTTGAGATGGAGCAGAAGCAACACTGTTTAAACAAAGTAATGGGGAGAGGTTACATGCCAATTTGAGTGTATTAAGTTAGAAATTAGCCTGCTGTTATGAGCTCTGTAAGTAAGTCACTTGCCGGGTGGTGGTGGTGGTGCACACCTTTAATCCCAGCACTTGGGAGGCAGAGGCAGGCGGATGTTTCTGAGTTCGAGACCAGCCTGGTCTACAAGAGCAAGTTCTAGGACAGCCTCCAAAGCCACAGAGAAACCCTGTCTTGAACCCCCCCCCCAAAAAAAAAAAGTAAAAAATCACTGGGGAAAACAGAATTGTCATCATTAAAACCCAAAGCTGAGGAACTTATCCCATTTTTGTATAGGGAGTGCTCTAAATTTTCAGGAAAATACTCAGTAGGATAAACATTTACAGTTCTCAAAAAGTTGTTCTTGTTCCTTTTGTTGTTGAGTGGGAGCCAAGTTCCCCACAGGCCTTAAGTGCCCTGCCCTTTAGTTCCTTGGCATTGTGCTGGGCTCAGTGATGTGTCAGTTTCCTGTTTCTTCTGCCCTTGTGGATCTTAGTTTGTGAGTAATTCAAGTTGTCCTGTGCTGCTTTTGTGAATAACCCTGGGCAAACCACTATCGTTCCTCTGAAATATGGAGAGACAGACTCTGAGAGCCCCTTTATTTTCTAAACTTCCTTGATCCAAATGAGTTTTGTTGTTGTTCCTTTGTTTGTCGTCTTGAGGCCAAGTCTTGCTGTGTATGTGTGGGATGGAACTCTTGCTCTGTAGCTGAGACTCGCACTGGTCTCTTACTGCGGAGGATCCTCCTGCCTCTGTCTCCTGAATGCTGGGATTGCAAGAGTGAGCCACCATGCCCAGCTCCAGTGGGTGCTTATAACTGAATACTCTTTATCAGCTGTGGACAGGAGTAACAGCACCTACAATAAAATAAACAAAAAGGGAGACCAAGTAGCATTCAGTAACAAAATCAGAACCCCACCTGCGTTTCTAGACCTCCATTCAGGATTTTAGGGGGGCTTGTAGAGATAAGGGAAACTTGCTCATAGCCCCGGTTTATCTCTGACACTGGCCCATGGCACATATGAATGTGATTGTTTCATAGAAGAAAGATGTGACTTCCAAGTCTCCTGCAGTCTTACACGGAGCACCTGGGCACGCACTCACCTGCCGTGCATCTTGAGAAGATGTAGCACGTGTGTTCTGCCTGCTTGCAGGCCAATGATGGATTCTGTCTGCAGTGTAACTCTCCTGTTCTCTTGTTTCAGCTTGGATTTACTTTGGGCAACATGGTTGGAATGTATCTGGCTCAGAACTATGACGTAAGTGGCCATACTCACATCTTCCTTGGCTCCCTGTAACTGTTTCATAGTTATTTTTCTCTCTTCAGGTGAGGTTTGCCTACTTGCATAAATAAGGCCCATAAGTATGAGTTCTTAGTTTTATAGACAGTTTTCCTATTGTTTGAAAAAATAATTGAACTCATTTAAGTCCCCACATCATCACAAGAGAATTGTAGATGTGGATTTATAGTGTGGCTCATGTAAGGATGGCAGTTTGGGGGAGGGGGAGTGGAGAACTGGGTGTCACAGCCAGATGGGGAATCCTAAAAGGTGTTTTAGAAAGACAAGGGATTGTGCTTTCCTCTGTATTAAAGGATTCCCATCGCTAGAATTTAGTTTTCTAGTCAGGGACTTTATTGCTTTATGATTTGTTGCATATAGATGTATATATCTTTTAGCTGACACTGGGTTGAAGGGCTGAGTGTTGGGCCTGGCTTTCGGGGGGGGGGACATAAATTTAACGCTGATGGCTTTTATATGCAGCTAGAAATGCCACCATTGAGAGGGTCTCCTCCAGAGGAAGTCAAAACCTTGCAAAGCCATTATTAATAGAAGAGACGTGAAGGAATATTGGTTAGGTAGATGCTAAATTACAATGCTCCTTTTTTTCTTTTAAAGATGCCAAACCTGACTAAAAAGCTTGACGATATTAAAAAGGACCTGGAAGCCAAGAAGAAACCTCCTAGTTCCTGATGCCTGCCTGGCACTGCTCTCTGGACTCATCAGTTTCCTCCTGAGGGGCCTGCCTCCTTCATAGCCACAACCCAAAGCTGTGTTCCTCTTCAGCCTCACACCCTGCCTGCTGCCTCAAAGCCAACATGGGGCCAGAAGTCAAAGGTTTACCTTACGTTCTGGCAGCTGCCCTTCCTCCTATAACTTCCATCCAGCTACTTATGAGTCCTGAGCCTGGAACTATGGTGCTAGGTTAGCAAATACAATCTTTATTAGAATTTACTCACCCGTCTCCTGGGAGTTCTACCATCTCTTGTCAAGAGAAAACAAAACATGGATTTGGATAGCTGATTTCACTGTCTAGCAGTTAAAAGAGCTAATTGTTAGATGTTTGTTAACTAAATTTTTGTTGCCAAATTAATTAAAGTCAGTACTTTCAAGCCAGATTCTAGTGAATTATCCATTTATTTTGTTATCATTGAGCTCCATGATTGATAATTTAACCAATAAATCATTTGCTGGATTAACCAAGAAACTGAATTCTGTAAGAACTGGGAAATTTTAAAACATGCAAAATAATTGTTGTCTTGAGTAGCACTCCATTTACTTAGCCTGAGTGTTTTTCTTTAATGATGTATTTGCTCCGACTCTGCCATTAAAAGAACCATTCTTTATGCTTGCATGCAACATTGTATGACAGGTGGGTAAGTGAGAAGCTGTTGATAAGAGAATGTTAAATTTTTAACATTAAAATATGTACTACTTACTTGTATAAGTTTATAGTGATTCCCCCTCAGAGAGATGTCCGGATGTATGATAAGATGAGACCATGGGGAAAATTCCACTTTTCTGTATAATCGAAGCTTTTTCCCCCCCTGAATCGGGATGGATCATCAAGCATAACACCATCATCATTTTTTTTTTTTTTTAAAGATAGTTTCCCTGTGTCACCCAGGGTGGTTTTGAACTCCTGGGCTCAAGCAATCTTCCTGCCTTATCTCCAGGTGCTAGGACTACAGGTGTGCACCATGGTGTCTGGCCTAGTCCATAATTTTTTTAAAGTAAAAAATATTTTAAAAGGTAATTGTGCTCACAGGAGACGATAGGAAAGTGATTTCACACAAAGGTTCTTCCCAGCTTCTGTCTTGTTCTCTAGTACAGTTCCTCAGGCAATCCTGTGTCAGTTTCCTGTGTACCTTTGAGAGAGTGTTTAAACACATGTGTGTTTTTGTTTGTTTGTTTTAACACAGTACTCTTTGCTTTTTGTCTCTTCCTTTCCCTTTACTTTTGTTTGCTTGACAGAGTGTCACTATTGTCAAGGATGACTTTGAACTTTTGATCCTCCTGCCTCTGCCTCCCATGTGCAAGGATTAAAGGCGTGTGCCACCACTGCACCACCATTTGTTTGTTTTTGAGACAGGGTCTCAACTTGTAGCTCTTGTTGTCCTAGAACTCATTCTGTAGACCAGGCTGGTCTCGAACTCACAGAAATCTGCCTGCCTCTGCCTCCCGAGTGCTGGGATTAAAGGCCTGCTCTATCATACTCAGCTTGCTCTTTTATTCTTAACGGAATGTATTCCATGACAGTATGTTAAGAACAAGGAACCTTAACCCTCTGTTTGCTCTGTAAGAGTCTATTGAATGGATCTTTCATAATTGAATGTGCTGCCAGTGAATGCTCAGGTGGCTTTTTTGCTGGCGTGGTGACAACCCTGACCCTGCTGTCCATACCTGCCCAGAGTGTAGCTATAAGATAAAGCTCTAAAAGTCTAGCTTGCACAAAGACAGTGTGTCTTGTTTCAGAGGACTTGCTGGGCAGCTTCTTTGACAATGCCTTTCTGAAGATATTTTGGTGGACAACAGCAGCAAGGGTTACTTAGAGACACCTGTTTTAAGAAAGGGATGACACTGGTCCCATATGGGAGTCAGAACATGGCGCTCATACTTGAGGGCGGGGGATGCATTTTATCCCTGTAGAAATCATCTTTTGGTGGGAGACAGAGGAAGAACAAATTTGGTTTGGCTCCTCCCTAGCGGTGGGCGGTGTACAAGTGGTGTGGTCTTCTGAAATGGGACACCTAGCTCATGAGGGTTTCATGGGAAACAATTGAGATGATGTACGTGCTCTGTTAAACTGTGCTTTGCAAACTGTTCAATAAATAGCAGGTACTAGTTGAAACACGATGCTTTGGGTCATACTGCTGTTGTGTTTCTGCAATTGCTTTCAATTCACCAGCTGGTGAATCATGTAGAGTGTGGTGGTATTCTGTGGTTAGTCTTGTATTTCATAAATATTTCAAAATTTCATAAAGTATGCGATACCCACTGTCCTTGTACCTCCCAGTTCACAAGATCTGATTGTAAATCACTAGGTGCTTAGCAGAATAAACTACAGCCCCAAAGAAGAAAGGTTTGTCATCTTTGAAGATATTCAGAATGCTGGGTAAAGGCTTCCTTAGAAAGCTGTTGGCAAATTGTATGGGTAGCTTTGGAGATGATGGGCCTTTAGATATTAGGAGATTAGGTCTTTATATAAAAGAAGGACTTATTCATGTCTTTTCTTTTTTCTTTCTTTTTTTTTTTTTGGTTTTTCGAGACAGGATTTCTCTGTGTAGCTTTAGAGCCTATCCTGGCACTCGCTCTGGAGACCAGGCTGGCCTCAAACTCACAGAGATCCGCCTGCCTCTGCCTCCCGAGTGCTGGGATTAAAGGCATTCTCCACCAACGCCCGGGGACTTATTCATGTTTTTTAAAAAAGATTTTATGTATATGAATGCTCTATCTGCATGTATATGCCTTTATGCCAGAAGAATGCATCAGATCCCACTGCAGATGGTTGTGAGCCACCATGTGGTTGCTGGGAATTGAACTCAGGTCCTCTGGAAGAGCAGTCAGTGCTCTTAACCGTTGAGCCATCTCTCCAGTCCCTATTCATATTATTTTTAATTATGTGTATGTCTGCATATGGGTATGTTCATGTCAGTGCAGGCACCCTGAGGAGACACGAGGCTCAGATCCCATCCAGCTAGACTTACAGATGGTTGTGAGCCACCTGGTGGGGGTGCTAGGAAATGAATTCTGGTCCTCTGAACTAGCAGTGAGTATTCTTCACCACTGAGCCATCTCTTCAGTCCCATGGTCTTCTTATGGTCTTATTATGTAGTCAAACTCTTATGGTCTTATTATGTAGTCAAACTCTTGGGGACTGAGGGCTTCCCTCAGGAGTGACACTTGTCTGTATTGATAGGATTGTTTCTATAAGGGGAACTGCCTTAATTTCAGCTCCACCAAAGAAATGGGCACACAATAAATATAGGCTAGTTGCAAGTTTGCGGTTCAGGTACAGTCTCCTGTTTTGTTTGTTTGTTTGTTTGTTGCTGTTTATTTTCTGATGCCTGGGCAAGTGCTCTGCTGCAGTCTTATCTCCAGCCCTGGCTTTCTGCTCTGTAGCAGTGAGAGGTAGCTCAGCTCTTGGGTAAGAAGTCTGCCAATGACGTAAGTGTTGGAAGTGTCTGGAACTACTGTAAGTTGTGGGGGGCAGGGACTGGAAGCTGGTAATGTGAGTGGGGTTGTGCTTGTGAAGAGCCATCACCAAGACATGGCCTTCCCTGTCTCCATTTAAAAAAATAGTCGAGGAATCTGTGGATGTATTTTAAGAAAACTACCTTGGGTGACCGTGAGAGAGTTACCTAAAATACTACCACAGCTCCTCTGACACGTAAAATAGAAGACTTAAGGATTATTGGAATTATTTTATGTGTGTATGTATTTTTGTTTCTTGAGACAGGTTTTCTCAGTGTAGCCCCGGCTGTCCTGGACCAGGCTGGGATTAAAGGTATGTGTCAGACAGCGTGGTGGTGGCTAAGCCGGGTGGTGGTGCATGCCTTTAATGCCAGCACTTGGGAGGCAGAGGCTGGTGGATCTCTGTGAGTTCGAGGCCAGCCTGGTCTGTAAAGTGAGTTCCAGTGTAGCCAGGACTACACACACAGAAACCCTGTCTCAAAAAAAGAGAGGAAAAAAAAGTATGTGCCATCGCTTCCTGGCATGATTGTTGGAAATTAAATAAGCACACTAAACTTGAAAGACATATCTTTAACTATAAACCTAGAGAAAAAAGCCAACTAACGTTTAATATTCTTAAGGGGTGACCTTTTGTGAGCCATCACAATGGCATCTTCTGAGTTGGTGATTTATGGAGTTAAGCAGATACCTACTTCTGGTGTAAAGGAGAAACCTCATTTCTTTTTCTCTGACTTACTCAGAGTGTACTCCTCCCGCTGCAGAGAGAAGTGACATGTGGGTTTCCTCGTCGTCTGTCCTGCTGGCAATGGAGCACATGTCCACATGTGTGATGTTTTCATTTCCCCTCGGTAACTCAAAAGCTCATGCCCTGGATACTGTGCTGGTGTTTGTTTTTCTGCTGAGGCCTCCCACATTTTAAACATTACTCTAACGGTTCTCCTTGTGAAAGAACACTGTACTGTACTGTAGCAAATGAAGCCACCCTTAAGCTCCCAGCCTTGGGTTTGCTCCTGATACCTGCCAATGAGTTCTTTTCCTCTGCTCTTAGGGCCTTGCCTTGTGGAAAGGGACAGGGCAGTGAGCGAAGGGAAAATATTTAAAGACCTTGCTTGTTCTTCATGGGGAGTTGTGGTACTTAGGATTTCAGGGGTTCAGCATACTCAGCCATATAAGAGGACGTAATGGATGGCAGTTTTTATAAGGCACAGTGTGAGACCTGAGAGGGTTTTTATGGAAAAAGCCCAGGGTGGAGCTTTGCCTGAGTCATTGCCACAGTGGCCGGACAGTGGGAAAGGTGTTGTGTGTCACCTCTCATGTGCAGATGCACAGGGCTAGGACAGAAAGTACAATGTAAAACCGCGTTCATTTGGAGAGTTTCAGCCTCTCTTTGTCTGTGGGTCAAGCATCTTGAAGTACTGACAGTGGTTCTAGTGTTTAGAGATACTAACCGTAGAGTGTCTGCATGTGAAACTAACTGTGCTGCCTTTGGTATTCTCAGGGAATTGGTTCCAGGCCCCTTGTAGATAGCAAGACCCAAGATGCTCAAGTCCCTCCTGTACAGTGGTGTGCGTCTGTATATAGCTTGTTGGGTCCCAGCCCCCACGGAGTCTCTGTGAGTTGCTTGTCAGCCAATAACCACAGGTACATCCTGTTTTCTAGTCCTGTCTTACAGCCCTGGCCTTGCCCACTGGCATCAAAAACGAGCTCTTATACCTGGAGTCTCTCCACAAGCTCTCTATAAGCTCTTGCACCTGGGGTTTCTCCATGCGCTCTTGCACCTAGGGTTTTTCCACTGTGCTGTAAATGTATTTAAGGCTGCTCTCTCCCCGGAAAATAGCAGACGAGTAAAGATGGAAAGATGCACATAGCACAAGTGGCCGGACGTCTCTGTGTTGAACTAAATCTCCAGGCTTTCGCCCGATACTCAGACTAGTCATGGCATGAATGCCACAGTAGCTGACACATATCCTCCATGGGAGTAGAAGTAGCAGTTTTTAAAAACCATGATGATGGATGTAAGTCTTTATGACGTGTAAATTCTAAATGTGAGAGCTCATACCCGTGCTTACTGTTGCTGTGTTTTAGTAACACTCTGACAAAAAAAAAAAAAAAAAAAACCAACTTGTAAAGCAAGGAGTTTTTTTTGCTTATGGGTTAAGCAAAAAGACCCAGGAGCTCAAGGTAGGAACCTAGAGGCAAAAACTGAAGCAGAGGCCAAGGAGGAGTGCTGCTTACTGGCTTGCTTCCCATGGCTTGCTCAGCTGCCTTACACAGCGCAGGTACCTACCTGCCCAGGGCTGGCACAGCTTACAGAGGCTATGTTCTCCTATGCCAATTAGCAATTAAGGAAATACTACATAGACATGCCCACCAATCTGATGGGAACTGTTCTTAGGTTGAGGTTGCCTCTTTGCAGACGCATCAAGTTGGTAACCAAAGGTAGCTATGACATAGATGACTCAAAGGGATTTCAAAGGCAGCGTTGAGCAAATTTGATACTCAACTTACAAGAATAAGATGCAGCCATACTTAATAATACCCTCAGGTCTGTTTCATCATCTGGGAGATGAGCTATTGTAAGATGACTGTATTTTCACAAATGCTGAGGGATAGTAGAAAATAAAAATAGCCGGGCGTCGGTGGCGCACGCCTTTAATCCCAGCACTCGGGAGGCAGAGGCAGGCAGATTTCTGTGAGTTCGAGGCCAGCCTGGTCTCCAGAGCGAGTGCCAGGATAGGCTCCAAAGCTACACAGAGAAACCCTGTCTCGAAAAACAAAAAACAAAAAACAAAAAACAAAAAACAACAACAAAATTATAATGAAATAAAAATCAGACCCTGCAATGGCAAGGGTTGAAGTGAAGTGCTTTTAGATGACCAGCGGTTAATCACGTCTGCCACTCCATTGTCAAGGTAGGCAGTCATGTTTGGCCAGAGTCTGGGTTAGGGAAGACAGTGCTGTACTGTGCACAGCCCCGTCCGTAATGGTTGAAAGCATCCACTAATGGAGACCCTTCTCCTGCAGCCACTGCTGTGGGAGGTGTCATTGCTTTCCCCGAGGAAGACCCAAGTCCCTGAAGGTGGCCAGCAATTCCAAGTACACTTACTTGAGCCAACTTTCCTTTGTCTTTTTACTTCCTGTTCTCCCCGAATTATATTACCTATGCTTTTCTTGTCTAACCCAGGAGTTCTCTAATGGTTCCGAACCGTGATAAGCCATTCCGATAATGGGACAAACACCCTGACTCAAAACATTTGAAAGCAAATTGCATTGGGATGCCATTACTTTGAAGCCAGCTGCACTATTGGCATTGTGTTTGGGCTTGTGAAGTCTTGGCTGTGTGATTGGCTGTGCTAATTAGTAAGGTAGAAGTAAGTGGTTGTATTCCTGGTTAAACCTGGTTGGTTACATTCTGTGGAGCCTGGAAGCGCTGACTGGCACACCAGGAACTTCACAGCTCAGACTCATGGTAAGCTAAAGGTGTGTTTTAACAGATAAATTGCCACAAGAAACTGTATGCCATCAGTAGTCAACTGAAATCGGTTACAACAGTGTGGTACCTGCAGGAGACTCCTCTTTTCTAAGATACTTAACAAGCAACTGATAGTGAAATCAGAAGCATAGAATGACAGCAAACAGAAGGGATGGAGATCTCCATCTAACCCCCTTGCAAGGGCATCTGATAGGAAAAATGACTCGGTTCTCCAGCGGAAGGAGTAGGCCTTGCTTTGCAGTGATTGTCCCCCCCCCCATCGGAAACATTTATTAAGCAGTTAGAGTTTAATACATTGTAAAGAACCCAAGACACATCTCCCCTCCAAGGGCTCAGGGGTGCATAGGAAGGGCTTGGCAGGGTCTTTGGGCACTACTTAGGACTTGGTGTTCTTAGAAACAAGCTAGTCATTAAATGGAGAAGCAATTGTATATCAATAATACTGTGAGTTCTGGTCTCTCTAATAAGACAGATATGAACCTTCTTTCTCCCTCACCATACTCCCAAGGCAATGGCATTTCCATTTAATGACAATGCATAGAGATTTGCATCCCACAATTTTTTTTCCCACCTCTTTCCTTTGATGGAATAAGGCCAGCCTCTTTCTAAGGGGAATATTATTTCTTTCCAGCAATTTGGTGCCAAGGTAAAGGGGAACCACTAAAGAGAGATACTTAAGGCAAATAAAACTGACCAAAGTACAGATTGCCACAAAGAGGACCTCCCAGGGGTTACCTTTTTCTAGACACAGATGCTTGAGAATACTAGGTAAGGCTTTCCCCCCAAGAAGAGAGCTCACAGGTCTCGTCTGTGTAGGCAGAGTTTCTACTATTTCTGCTTCCTAGGAAAGTATGACAGGGAGCATAAAACCAGGTGAGGCCAGTCAGTTTGTGAGGCGTCCCTCGGGGAACTAAGGCTTGCAGCGGTTCTGGTCTTCAGGAAGAGTTAAGGCTGGACACGGAGAGAGCAACTGTAGGCTTTCTTGAGAGTGGTGCTAAGGGAAGCAGGCAGGCTGGGCAGGAAACACACCCAGCACATCTGGTGGCTGGTGGAGGAATCTGGCAGCAGGGATGTCCTCCGTATGGGTCTGGACTGTGTGCTCCTGGTGGTTTTGTTTGCCCATGGCTCAGCTCTGGCTCTGCTAATAACTGTCCACTTGCATTAGGTCTGATCCGTGATGTTGCCGACCTTAGCCCAGGCTGGGAAAGTGTCCAAGTGGAAGAGGCTAACTCCCCAAGTATTGATGGCCACCATCACTATCACCAGGCCAATGACATTGACTCCTAGGCCAGCTTTCACCTGTGGGACAACAGCCAGAAAGCCCCGGTCATTCTGAGTCAACAGTAGCCAGATTGCCCCACCGTGAGCCCTTCCTAGGCCCCGCCTTAGTTTTGCCCCCACGCTGTTCTGATTCCTCCCAAGAGCTTCCTGGACTTCTCCAGCTCTATTCTACCTCATCAAGTGGCACCCGTCTGTGGAAGGACTGGAAAGGTGGGGGTAAGGGGCATGGGAGAGTGATAAGAATCAACTTCTTGCCTATAGCAATGTCTCATCGTTAAGCAGAATCCTAGGAGGTCTGTGAGCTACCTGGGAAACCAGATCTGAGGAATGTAGTGATTTGTGTAACAAATGAGGGGAAACTATATTAAACATAAGGAGAGCTCTGCTGTTGTGTGTGGCTGCTGAGGAAAAGTTTTACCTCGGCAAGGGTAATGGGACCCTGCTTCAGACAGTTGGGCCTCAGTGGTTTGTATTAGTTTGTTTACTTTCTCCTCGCCTGTGGTCAGCTATGAGGATTAAGATCAGCCATAATTATAGGCTGAGAGTGGAATGTGGGCATGCCCAGCACTAATGGCAGCCACAGAAGGTCTCTGCAGCGCCATCTCTTGTGAGCCAGCTGGAAACCAGAGTCTGGAGTGGAGGCGTTTTACTTTGTATCCCTGCTTCAGGGCTTCCTTGCTTGGGTGAGAACTGAACAGAAGGATGCTGTTCTCACAAGACGCCTTTCACCCGGGTTCATACAGGTTCTCATAACTCCATTGTCCATGAATGAATCAGCACTTGTCCAGAAGGTTTGTGCAAGCTCATGCCTTCTGGAATGAGGCCACAGCCTGTGCCCTGGTAGCTTTCTCTCTCCCCGTGCCTACTTTTTCCCCAGATGACAGTTAGGAAAAGCCCATTGCTATTCCTGGAGCTTACAGGCCAACCAAGAACCTTTCTACAGGAGTCATTCTTTCCACACACCAGCGAGAGCGCTGGGAGCCTGCTATGAAATAGACTCCAGGAGAAGCCACACAGCAAACCACCCTCATGGTCTGGGGCCTGGCAGAGGGCACCCACAGCTCACCATATCTTTGATCTGGCAGTGTCCATAGCTGAAGACGATGGCATTGGGGGGGTTGCCCACCGGCAACATCACAGCAAAGGAGATAGACATGGTGACCGGGACCAGCGTGTATAGTGGATTGATGTGCAGTGTCTCAGACTGGAAGAGAGGAGTCACAGAGACGTTAACCCTGAGAAGAGGTTGGCATGGAATGTGCTCTAATGATGGCTTGGTCTGGACGCCATGGTCTGGGGCTTGTTAGTCCCCTGCCCTCTGGACATGCAGTGCTTCTGCTCACAGGGCTGAAACTCTGAGGCAACTCCAAGGTGGATGTCTGAGCTTTGAGGGGGAGGGGACATCTTAGTGACATGGTTCTTGAAGTTCACTCTTTAGCTAAGAAATCCCTTCTATAAGAAAATCTCATGAATAAGTGTCTTTAATCGGAGCAAGAATCCCTCACCCTTGGGGTATAGATCTGAGGGACTCTCCCACCCTGGAAGACAGTTTAGTTGCCCTTTTTGGGATTTGAACCCATGACCTTGCTTTCAGTATAGCCGTGTTTTCAGGAAATGGTTTGGAAGGGCATTGTGGCACATGTATTTAGTTCCAGCACTGGAAGGCAGAGGCAGATGCAGACATCTGAGCAGAGAGCAGAGTAGCCCCGAGAGCTGGCATTCCATAGAGCAGGAAAGACCTTGTAGGAGATTGGTGGGCGCCTTCGTGCCCTACATTTCCTGGTATGTCATTTGATCAAGGGTATCTATCACTTTGGGGACTTCAGCACTTGCTCCACTCATTACCAATAGGTCTGAGGCCATGGAGTTAGGCTGATAATGGAGGTGGTGCCTGTTCAAGCTATGGTCTTGCATATTTGTTTTCCTGAGATGGCTTCATTATGCAGCCCATGCTACTACCTCAAATAAATTAATTCTACTTTTTTTTTTGGAAAAGTGTTTCTAAACTATGGATATATTAATATATAATTTTACTTTACTAATTGCAATTTGAAAAAATCCACTGCTTCCACCATGGATTGAACAGCAATCACTGAAAGCAGCTGGTAGTGAGAAAGGGATAGCGATGGAAACTGTTCCCCGGGTCAGGCTGGGCACTGAGGCCCTGGCACATGTGTCTGGCCATCTAGGGGGGTCTCATGTACTCACCAGGGTACATAGGATGGGCAGGAAGATGGTGATGGTGGCTGGATTGCTGACAAACTCTGTGACAATGGACACCAGCACACATGCCAGCAGAGTGATAGCCCAGGGGGGGAGGCTGCTCAGGGACAGCATTTGGTGTCCAATCCACGTGGAGAGGCCAGAGCTCTGCGGAGGGGGTGGCACAGTGAGAGGAAAGGAGTAAAAGTGTGTTCCAGAGGGAGCTTGTAGGCTGAGGGCTCGGTACTGCCGCCTGGGAGGGCTACCAGGCCTCATCCCATCTGTTTGGCCTCACCAGAGCCCACGTTGAGTTTATGAGTAGGTTAATTTTATAGCTCAGACATGTCTCAAGAAGGTACAACATTCTGTCTTTGGGTTTCCTGGTCATGGGGCATTAGAGCCACCCACCTTGGCCACACAAGATCCTCTCTAGGCAGAATTGGGGGGGGGCACTTCAAGGTTACTCTCACTCTGAGGATGACAGCCTCACTCTGTGCATCCCCCTTGCAATGGTGAGGGCTATCCCCCCTCTCCTAAAAAAATGGTCAACGACATGGAGTTTCTGTACTGAAACATTCCAGGCCACCATATGCATTTTCTTCTTTCTCTTTTCTGTGGTTGACATGCTCAGACTCTTCTTAGAGTATCTTAGAGACTGCAAAGGTGATACAGAAATGGAGAGTAGGACTGGAGAAATGGCTTGGTGGTTAAGAGTCCTGACTGCTCTTTCAGAGGAACCTGGGTTTAATTCTCAGCACCCACATGGCAACTCATAAATGTCTGTAACTTAAGTTCCATTGGATCTAGCACCCTCACACAGGCAGGGAGACACCAATGCATATAAAAAAATAAATCTTAAAAAAAGGAAATGGAGCTGGGCGTTGGTGGCGCACACCTTTAATCCTACCACTTGGGAGGCAGAGGCAGGCAGATCTCTGTGAGTTCGAGGCCAGCCTGGTTTCCAGAGCAAGTGCCTGGATAAGCTCCAAAGCTACACAGAGAAACCCTGTCTTCAAAAAACCAAAAAACCAAAAAAAAAAAAAAAAAGGGAAATGGAGAATGTGCAGGAAGCAAGGTGGGTCAAGCTTCAAGACCATAGCACCACATGCCCAGGTGGCAAGCTCCCTTTGCTCCCTTTGCTAAAGTCATCAAGAGTTCATGGATCTCCGGGGAACCCTCATCACATCATGGCAAACTCATAGATAAGTGATGGCCAGAGGCCTTCAGAATTCTCTGTGCTGTAGCTGAGGCGTGTGGAAGACTTTGAGAGCTGCACACACAGTACCCGGTGTTGGTTAATAATTCATATAGCTCTTTGCAGTCTCTGGCAGCTGTCATTGTCCCTTCTTGTAACACATTATTGCACAAAGGCAGGAAGGGCCATCAGATGAGTTATAAATGATGCATTTTAGGAAACAATTGAGTTTTATTCATGATGTTTTCCAAATAGTACTTATAACTTATAAAGTAATTTAATGAAAACTACTTTTCCAATAGAAATTTTTTATACAAGAGTTTGAAATAAATTGATAAATTATGGTGCCAAGTTAGAAGAAACACAACAAAGAGAGTCTTACTTTTTAAACGACTTGGTGTGAAAATGCTTTACATTGCATTTTCCTTACCTGTGTCAAAACTGCAATAGTTTCAGAGTCAGTAGGAATGACACAGATTTTACCTGAATTGCTGTAGTACTAAAACTAGATGAGTCAAAAGGTTTTACAAAGACAGACTAGTGTCTATAATTTATATACGGTTTTGATGGAAAAAGAATAGGTCTTGTCAGGGTAGGCCCAGGCCAAACTAATAACTGAAACACAATAAAAAATCAATATAAAACTTTGAACACAGAATTAGAAACGGCGACAGGCTAGGAACAGGGTGGCTGAAAGGACTGTGGTCTGATAGTGGCCAGTAATGCAAAGGATTAGAGCCGCAGGTGATGGCAGTGTAAATGCCCAGGAAGCCTCATAAAAGCTCCCAAGCAACTGCAGGCTGTGCTGCCATCAGGGAGAGAACAAGGTTAGCTACTGTAATTAACAGACAGACTGACCGCCCTGGGATCATATTTAAATACAGCTGAGGAAAACTTGAGTGAGTCCTGAGTGAGACAGGAATTGCAACCTCTGAGGATGCTTGATAGAGCTAGGGAGTTTTAGCTGGAAAAAATCCAACAGGACCTATTTATTACAATAGTACCTGGAATTCTAGAACCAACACAGAGAATGGAGAACAACTTGGCTGGAAATGAGTAACTATTCTCTGTATAGGGAGTACCCCATTAGTGGAGGTGTACAAAGATGAGTGTCCTGGAGGGAATACTCACTGGGTAGGAATTCGGCCTCAGTGTCCCCTGAGGTCCCTTCCCATATAGGAGTCTGGCTGGCTGTCAATGATGAGATAGTATTGAGGCCCGAAAGGAGTGTGCAATCAGAAGTGTACCAGGTTGGGGCTGGAGAGAAGGCTCAGCAGTGAAGAACACTTGTTCTTGCAAAGGACCTGGTTTCAGTTCTCAACACCCATGTGGTGGCTCACAACTGACCCTAACTCCAGTTCTTGGGGATCTGATGTCTACTGAACTCTGAAACACACACACAGACACACACACACACACAGACACACACACACACACACACACACACACACAGGTAAAACACTACTACACATTAAATCAATTTTAAGTTTACAAATATTACAAGTTCGGGCCACGTTAGTGTATGTGGCCATGGTGGAGGGAGAAGCAGTCTGAACCTCAATCTGATTCATTCACGGGATTCTTTCCTTCATAGAGGGCTAATGGTGGGAGAGCTTCAATTATTTCCCACCAGCCTCACTAAAAAAGATCCCGCGCTGAGTGTTCCCAACCAGGAAGCCAAGCAGACTTATACCAGCTTCAGCTCAGATTCTCTGAGAGGCTCAGTCTAGGTGTGTAGTCGGACAGAGGGGCAACCTACTGAGTTATCACGTGGGGTCTCTATGAGTCTTTGCAACCCACCTCACGTCAGTGGTATGAGGCCCCAGAAAGGAGATGCCTATAACAGCCCCAATTCCTTTTGCTTGTATGGGGCCTGCGAAGGCGGTATCAATGTCTGTGCTTACTTGTGGCACCAACTGAGATGGCAGGGAGGAACCAGTGTCTGTCCTGTTGTGTTGCCATCCTTCCTACTGACTCAGTGACCGTTGTGCTCTCCCTCGGGAACTTCTAGTCTCTCCTTCAGGGTTGTAATGGACTCTTTAGGAATCTAACCAACATTTGACCGAGAAGAGAACTGAACTGTTACCTTGCTGCCGGAAGCCAGGGCATAGCCTCCTCCCACCAGGATGACGATCTCCCAGGGCATAGTCCTTTGGAAGTCCTTCCATGTGATGATGGGCTCCATCCCCTGGGTGGGCTCCTGGCTCGCCTCTGGATCACAGACAGGAAGAAATGGAGGCAGGTAAAACCCCGGGAGGGATGATTTATGAAGAAGGGCCTACCTAATGCATAAATGGCAGGGGTTGGGAGCTAGCTAGCTGGGTTGGTTTCTGAAGGGCCTGGGAAAGTCTCTTGAAAATTCTGACTTGATATTCTCTGTTTAAAACCACCCCCGGCTTTGTCCCTTAAGTCTTCTCTCACCATCACTCTTCTTTCCAAAGCAGGGTTTCTTTGCTGGAATGAGGAAAAGCAGGAAGCCAAGGAATACAGAGACTGTGGCATCAGTGCGGTAGCCTTTCCTAGCAAAGAGACACACGAGGCAGGAGGAGGAGAGTCAGGAGTCCTTGAGAGCAACACAAGTCTCAGGACAGGTTGTGGGAACACAGCGCCTCTTCACAGGACATAATCCAGCAGTGACAAAAACCTGACTTTCGCCAGTTGTTGGGCTGTGCTATGGTGGATTCATAGGCAGGGTTAATGCCTGGCGACAGCCTCCCTAAGGGAGGTGTCTTAGTGTGAAGTGACAGCCGGGTAGTCCTTGAGTTTAGGCATGATCAGAGTTGTTTAGATAATAGCAAACAAAGCATGGGCCTCTCTCCTGTGAGGACCACACCTCAATGTTGGTGCTGGGAGAGCTTGTAAATCCACAGTGGTGGCCTGGAAATTGTGTGTACCTCGCTTGGTGGCTTCTTCCTCCACAGGACTCTGAGGCCATAGTTTCATTATAGCTAGTCCTTTCTAGATGTTTCCCCTTTAACACTCTTGGCATCCTAGGAGATAGGTGAGGCTCCAAGCACTTCTGTGAGATGAGTAAGTCACACAGGTGGTAAATGGCGGCCCCTGGTTCCAAGCCTAGACAGGGACTCCCAACATTGTGCTTTCTTCCTGGCTCCATACTGCCACTTCCTTATAAGGAATGGATTTCTCAAGGGCCAAAATGCTTTGAGTTTGTGTAATATATGGTTACAGCTTAAGGAATGAGTGGGGATGGGTTCAGGAGGAAACAATGTCACTTACTTTTCAAAGAAAGAATCCCAGCCAGGGACGAAGCCAGGCTCGCGGGTAAACCACAGCACTGTCATCAGGATGAAGAAAAATGCAGTCACCATTTCAGGGTAGCTGTCAAAGAAAGAGGAAGACCTGCCTCAGGAACTGGGAACTTAGAGCTTTTTCACATGGCTTCTGGAAGCTCCTGTTCAGACCCCCAATACTGATGACATAAAACACAGTCGCTACTTTAGCGCTAGATTGGCTGGCAGTGACTTAGAAAAAGAACTGACAAGGATGCTAGAGGTGACAGAAGCCAAGTTTCCTGGAGAAATGTAGGTGGGAGGGAGAGAGCACAGCAGTGTTATAAATAAAACAGCTTAATCTTCTCCTTTCAGGAGAGCACCACATAGTGAGCACTTTTAGGTTCTGCTGGTGGGAGCACGAACTGCTACCAACCAGTGTTTTAGGGCAATTTACTGTATACCTTAGGAGCTTTAGTTTTGGTTTTTCTCTTCACCTGAGACAGTAATTGGCAATGCACAGTGAATTACTAAGGATGGCAAAGGGAAACAACAGTGTTGTTTATCCAATTAGATTCAGTGACAATGGATACGTTTTGATGTTATTGTTCAAATGAGAGCCAAATATTAACAGACATGTTGCCATGGCAGAATGAATGACATAGGGACATAATCAGAGCAGAAAAATGAAAGTAGACGGCATATACAACAATGTACTAGGTGAAAATAGACAGCATATACAACTATGTTCAGTATGACTCTTATAAAAATATATACATTATGTATACATATATTTATAATATGCATATCCTGTAGGTACTGAGGCTTGAACCCAGGGCTTTTTGCATGCTCAGCAAGTGCTCTACTATTGAGTTAACCTTCCCAGCTCCCTCTGACTTTAATTTGAAATAGTCTAAGTTGTCCAGTCTGGTCTTGAACTTACCTTCCTGCCTCAACCTTTGGAGTTAATTAGGATTATAAACCCAGTTTAATCACATAATTTACACACACACACACACACACACACACACACACACACAGAGAGAGAGAGAGAGAGAGAGAGAGAGAGAGAGAGAGAGAGACAAACACAATGGAAAGGAATATATTATGCTAACAATTAACACTAGGATACAAGCCCATTTTATTTATTTATTTATTTATTTATTGATTGATTGATTGATTGATTGATTGATTGATTGATTTTCAAGACAGGGTTTCTCTGTGTAACAGCTCTGGCTTTCCTGGAACTAGCTCTATAGACCAGGCTGGCCTCAAACATATAGAGATTCACCTGCCTCTTCCTCCCAAGTACTGGGATTAAAGCTATTCCTATATTTTATAAATGGCAAACCATGAATATTTATTCCTTTTATAAATTAAAGCTTTAAAAATATAATCTAAGTCGGATTTTTTTTTACTCAAAGTTGTGTATAGGGAGATATAGCATTAGTCAGAAGGCTGTATGGGGTACTGTGGGAATGCTTACAGAAGTGTTTGTGATGCTGAAGTTGGTAGTGATGTCCTGATTCTCCTGTCTTCAAGTCTGTGTCTTGTGCTCTAACTATAGCACCAAGGCCCCCAGCTGGGGTGACAGCTGATTACTATTGTGACCCATCTGATAAAGTAAAGATCTGAGGCTTTACAAGGAGTCTAGCCGGTTCTGCTTGTGACTGTGCTTTCTTCCTGTTGGTTTTTTTCCAACTGTCCTACTAGATACTCCACCCCATGCCTTGGACTCTGAAGACAGAAGAGGGTGGCCACTAAAATCTGGGCCGGCATGGCTCTGACATTAAATAGCACCTTCTGAATGCTTAGATTTGGGTTTCCGGAAAATTCTGCTAATGTGAGGGACTGTCAGGACCAGGGCTGCTGGTTCCCTTTACTGTTGCACTGGGGCAGGGGAAAGGGGCCGGTGTAGCTCTTACCTAATGTCTCCCAGCTTTTCGTATTCCTCCCGGATCCTCTTCTCTGACAGCTCTTCCCTTTTGGTCTTCTTCTTCTTGCTCAGAGAACAGGTCTCTTTAAAGCTAAGAAGGGAGAGTGGGCACAAAGGTAAAATACGCTTCTGAGGTCAGAAATACTGCTCCACTCCTGCTGTGATCTTCTTGCCTCTGCACAGATGCACAAACACACCACCTCACCCTCCTGTTTGCGCAGCTTCTTTCTGCCTAGGTGCCCAGCCCCTCTTAGGCCTTCCCCGGGCCCTTGTTTATATCCATCTGGACATGGTTGGGGTGTATTAGTGTGGGATTATGTCTTACAGATGTATACTTATATCTAGTTGCTTCCACACAACTGTCTCATACGTGAGTAGAGTCAGTGTTGGGGGTGTGTGCATGCATGCACACACACTTATTTGTCTAGAGACAAGGTTTGCCTGGGGCAGAAGTACGTGCTAGCTTTATATGACAACATTGGCCTGCTGTATACAGCCTTCTTTGGATTGACAATAAGTTGAGTAAAAAGAAAACATTCCTTGGCCAACAGAGTGGTGGGTTCCATAGGCGATTTACTAACGAAACATTATGCGAATTTTCCTCTTTTGCATTTGAGGTTGATCAAATTTAGAGTAGACTGATGGTTGTGATGAGAGGGCTTACTAAGCAGTTCAATATTATAAATAATATCACTAGGGTCATGTCCAACTTCTCATTTTGAGAGATCCATACAAACTTCTAAACAGAAATCTCCTATCTATAGAATTAAAGTCAGGGCAGTTTTACTTAGAACCATATCTTTAAGAGAGGTTGAGGTTGCTCTCTGATTTGAGGGCAATGAAACTGTATCACTTTCCAGGCTTTCTATAGACCAGACAGGTCTGCAAGCCAAGTGGTTGGAATTAAGAACATCTCATCGTGCACTCAGAGAGAAGTGCAGAGTTCATGAAATCTTCGAGTCTCCAGAAGACACAATGTTCAGCTCCTAGTTGCATCCCCTGCATTCCCAGAGCACAGGCTGTTGGGTCCTGGCCTGTCCACTTAGAGCAGAGCCTTCCCACTTGAACCACAGACCTTGAGAGAACCTTGGCGTTTGCCCACAGGGCCCTGGCACTCACTTGCAGCCCAGGAAGAGCCAGTGCATCCAGAACCAGCTGACCACCAGCATGATGAGCGAGATGGGGAAGCTAAAGAGGAACCAGGTTCCAAAGTTCACCACCTCTGCCGCCGGATACTGGCTGGAAGGTAGAGATCAGGCCAGGGGTAAGGAAGGGATGCTATTTCCACATGGAACTTGGGAGTGATAGCCAAGAGCTCCTTCAGAAGACACACAGCGGGGCCGAGGGCAGAGGAAACTACAGTAACGTTTGATCAGACATTATCTAGAACTGTGCAGACTCAACTCCGCTCCTCCTCCTCACTGGGACTCCCTCCTGAGACCTCGAGGACATCTATCCCTAGGTCCCCCATTCCAAATTGCTCATCCAGAATGAGTTTCAAAACTTTAACTCTGACGCCTTTACCCTTACTTCAAATTCCTTGAAGGCTTCTCATGGCCTTCCCGGTACTGTCCAAGCTCTCTGTGGTTCTTGCCAGCCCTTTGACATCTGTCCCTCTCCCTCCCTGGTCCCCTTTGCCCTGTCATTTCTTTTGAGTTCTCCATTCTCTTGCCTTGGAGCCTTCACACTGCTGTAAATTCTTTGGAAATTTCCATCTAGTTCCCCGCCTCATCATCCAGGTGGCCCCGTCACCATCAATCACCCTCTCTGCCTGCAGGTGGAAGAGCTCCCTGAGCAGAATCCTGGATTCCTCTTACCCTCCTCAACTGGCCCAGCAGCCACTCAGCTCTGACTCCTGCAATATCCCTGGCATCTAGTCCCGTTCTGGTGAGGCTTGGTACTTGCTGACCGAGTGAATTACTTACTTGTTGAAATGCTCTAGGAAAATAAGGCTGGTGGACGTGCCAATAATGGTGGTCAGGCCACCAATGGTTGCGGCGTAGGATATGCTCAGAGAAAGGCACTTGCAGATCATTTGGTCATGGTGGGATCTGTACTTCTTCCTGTTTGCTTCCTGGTTCTTGGAGCTGGGAGTCAGGACTCCTGACTTTTCCTACCAAAAGAAAGTGAGCTTGGGTTGCCCAGGACATGAAACCAGAGAGGCAGCAGACACAGTGGTTCAGTGGACAGGTGATGAGTTTTAGCATCAGATGGATAAACCCGTTTCTCCTGTGCTGACTAGGCCCGCTTCTGAGCACCACTTTCTTCTGCAAAACCATATCCTCTGCTACATGGTTGTGAAGATAAAGGAACTAATACATACAAGACTCTTGGATTACTTCCTGTCCTTCATTAAAGAATGGGTGTCATTGGGGCTGGAGAGATGGCTACAGGTTAAGAGCACTGCCTGCTTTTCCAGAGGACCTGGGTTCAGTTCCCAGCACACATGTTGGGTGTCTCACCAATACCAGTAACTCTGGTTTAAGGAGTCTCATGCTCTCTTCTGGCCCCTGAGGGCAACAAACATGTGTATGGCCCACATCTATACATGTAGACACACATACACATAAAACTAAATCTTTTAAAGATGATAAACTATTATGATTTTTTTCTTTTTTGGAGACAGGGTCTGAAGGAAACCCCTATTGGCTTCAAACTTATGTAGCTGAGGTGACCTTGGACCTTCCTCCTCCTTCCACCTCCCAAGTGCTAGCATTGTAGGATGATGTGGATTATGTTTATTGTTAATAAAAAACTGATTAGCCAATAGTGGGGCAAGAAGAGATTGGGCGAGACAGTTTGATGCAGAGAGGATGATGGGAAGAGGAAGTGTGAAGTCAGGGGAGTCAGAGGAGATACCAGCCAGCGGCCGAGTAAGCAGGATGTGTAAAAAAATGAGATAACAAGCCATGAACCACGTGGCAAATCATAAATAGGACTGTGGGTTAATTTAGGTGTAAGCGTTAGCTAGTAACAAGCCTGAGCTATTGGCCGAGCAGTCATAATTCATATTCAGCCTCTGAGTCAGTTATTTATTCATATTAAGCCTCTGAGTCAGTTATTTGGGACCGGGCAGTCGGGACCTAAAACATCTGTTTATGTAGATATGTGCCACCCACCACTCCTGGCTAATTAGGATTTTTGGTGTTATTGATGTTTTTAATACGGATAGCATTGTTTTTCACTTGAACTCCAATAACACTCCAGTTGGCAGTTAGGCCAACAGTGGATGCTATTATTTTGACTAAAATGTTTATTTTTTAATGTGTTTAAACGTATGTATGTGTACCTGCACCGTGTGCATACAGTATCCAGGGAAGCAAGAAGAGGACATCATATCCCCTGGAGTTGTTAGAGGCAGTTGTGAGCCAACATGTGGGTGTTGGGAAATGAACCCAGGTCCTCTGCAAGAGCAGCAAGTGTTTTTCATTACTGAGCCATCTCTCCAACCCCAAGGTGTTATTTTTATGTGGAGGTGGAATGACAGTCCTGGTGGGGAGAAGTGTTAGAATTAAGCTTGGGATGGCAATGTAGTTCAGTGGCAGACGCCTGCTTATTCTGAGCAAGGCCTTGGGTTTGCCACCTAATACTGCACAACAATCACAGCAGAACCTAGCTTTCATGAGGAGAAGATGACACGCATGATCTCTCCCTCCCTGCCTCACTCTTTCCCCTCTCTTTCGTGTTTGCCTTTCCTTGGCCTTGGCAAGGCCTTCTCAGGCTTGCTTGTTCTAGTTCACAACCTCAGGTATGGACTTAAGAAGCAGGTGTTCCCCATTCCTTCTAGGCTGAGTCCCCTCACTCTCTCACTAATTCTTTTCATTTTTAAAGTGCTTTTTGGCTCATTCTCATCTTGTTGCCTCCACCTCCCAAGTGCTGAAACTACAGACTGGCACTATCATGCCTGGCTGTACAGACTCAGAGAAGCCTGGTGCAAACATCAGCAGGTCAATTCACAAGAAAACTGATCTTTAGAAGAGGTTTAACTTGCTAAGAGCCCTTAACTGTTGTCTATCTTCTGAAGGCCACAGTAAGGCTTGGACACTTCCAGCCTCCAGAAGATTCGCTGCTGGCTTGAGTTGGAAAGGATTTACCATGATCTTTTCTTCTAGTGCAATTTATACTGAACCTGAATACATGAACTAACTGCAGCTTTTAACTGGCTTCTATTTTGTAGCTGAAAGTCTACCGGGGGTTTAACTACGAGTGCTCAAGGAGACTGGCTTGGAATCAAGATGCTGAGCTTCCCAGCGCCCCACTGCTGGTCCCTGGTTTCATTGCTCTACCACATTTGCAAGAATGAAGTTCAGAACCGCTACCCTACCGAGCCAGGACTGTGGAGAAAGTGCTTAGCCCCATGTCAGCACATGTTCATAAAAATAAACATTTCATAAATGGTGGCATTTATTAATGGTGACAGTGAAGGCCGTAAAACAACTGAAACCAATGACGGATTAAAAAAAAATCTGAAATCAAGGGCTTTGTATAGGTAACCGATGCCTCTCAGACCAGCCTCAGCATCCTTTCTGCATTTTGTTTTAGTGTTACAGCAACAGGAAAAGACTCATTTGTGCAGTAGAGCAACCATGCTTATAAACTCAGGACAGTATGAGAAAATGTTTTCAGCAGGAATTGGTAAGATGCTTCTGGGTTAAGGCACTTGCATCCCACCCTGGCAGCCTGAGTTGCATCCCTAGAACCTACATGGTGGATGGAGAGAACTGACCTTCACATTTGTATGATGTGGGAGGTCCTTCTGTATGCTGCAAATATATTTTTTTTGTTGGTTGATAAATAAAGCTGTTTTGGCCTATGGCAGGGAAGAATATAACTAGGTGGGAAATCCAAGCAGAGATATGGAGTGAGAGAAGGCAGAGTCAAGGAGATGCCATGCAGCCCTGAAGGAGTGGGATGTCAGAACATTACTGGTAAGCCATGGCCATGTGGTGACACACAGGTTAGTAAAAATGGGTTAATTTAATTGTGACAGCTAGTCTGTAATATGCCTGAGCCATTGGCCAAACAATTAGAATTAATTGTAAGCCTCTGAATGTTTAACTGGGAACTGGCAGGCAGGAGAGAAACCTTCATTTACATTTGTACCTGCACACACACAATAAATGTAATTTTTAAAATGAAAAATATCTATAGTTCCCTTGAAGAATCATTTGAACCTCATATCTACCAAACTTAAGCATTTACATGTTGAAAAACCTGTGACCCGGGAAGTGGCTCACCCTGGCTTTTGGTGATGCCCAGGGAGCTCAGGTGCTTTCTTTTCATGACACACACATCATGCTAATGACAGCTCACTAATGACAACATTGGGGCAGTACCTTTCAGAGACCTAAGATATTGTGTATAGTGTTCAGTTACCTGTGATGAATGCTGCCTCTGATGTTGCTGTTGGTTTGCTGTTTTGACAGGTTTGGTGACCATGGGCACACCATTCAGGTTCTGCTGGGACAAAACCATCACACTGTTAGGAAGAGGATATGGTCCAAGTATCTGGAGAGGTACCACTTGTCCCAGGGCTACCCTAGGGATTGCCACTATGGGACGCAGAGCCCAGAAGCCTAAGGGCATGTAGGATCCATCTTCACAGCTTCCATCCAGCCAAGGGAAGATGCTTTGGAACCTGGGGATCATTACTTTGCACTTACAGGCAAGATTGGCTTTCTGGGAGTTCATTAGCAAGTGAAGCATTCTATTACTTTTTAAAAACCCAAAACATTAGCAATAATCTACCACAGTGAAATCCACAGTTGGGGGGAGCTGGAGAGAGGGCTCTGTAGTTAAGAGTATATACTGCTCTTACAGAGGTCGTGAGTTCAGTTCCCAGAACCCACGTCAGGTGGCTCACAGCCACCTATAATTTCAACTCTAGGGGATCTGAAACCTGGATTTTGCAGGCCTCTGTGCTTACATGCACACACACACACACACACACACACACACACACACACACACATCATTAAAAATAAATCTTAAAAGAATGCATGGTTTAGTTGGCCAGTTATTCCTATGAAGAGGTGTAAAACCTTTATGGAGAGAGGTGAGTCTGAGCAATGCATACAGGCAATCCTATTGTTAGTATTAAGATTTTGCAAATGGAAACCGCAGTGAGGATAAAATCCTGAGCTTGAACACGTGGCTTTTGAAATCAGAATGTCTGAATTTTGGCTTTCATAAATAGGCTAACTTGTATTTTACTTATTTAACTTGCATTGCCTTGTTTAGCTACCCAGGACTCCGAGCTGGGGTTCAGAATCTCTCATGCCCTTCTCAGAAGACCCACTGGCTTCTTGTGTCCAGCCTGGGTGAGCACCTCTCTAGTCTTAATCCACCGAGGCTGCCGGCCTATAGGAAAAGCTACCAAGCATCTTGGTGCCTGAGTTATCTTGAGGGAATCCCGGGTGATGTTAAAGCCCAGAACGGGGAACCAAAGTCATACCTTGTTCTGCATCAGGGAAGTGAAGTCTGCAGTGGTTGTGCTGAAAAGAAGCAAAAGAACAGGGAAACCGGAGTGGAGCAGGTTTGAGGAGGATGCTCTTCCTCGTGCTGAGTGTTTGGTATAAGGCTCTTAACGTTAGACTCAAGTTTTCTAGCCTACAAAGAGGACCAATCTTTCCCTAGCCTTCGCTGACTCCTGAGAGGCTCTGAGAGTCCAGGGGCTTGCTTCCTCCCAAGGATGGGGCGGCAGCTTCATAAGAAGTGACATCAACATTCCCAATAATGACATATATGGAGTTCTGATTGGGTGCAGGCACTTAAATTTGGGGTTCCTTCTTTATGACACGGTCAACCCTCAACAGATCCGGGCTACCAGCATCTATTTCCATCACCACCTAGAGCTAGGATGTCAGAAGTGGGTGCACATGGTCTCTCACTGTCCCATTGCAGAACCCGTGCCCTGATAGTGTCCTTATTAGCTGGCTCAAGAAGGTCACGCTCTAGGTGACATGCTTATTTGAGGTGGCAACAGCAGGAAGGACAGGCAAGGGAGAAAACAAGATGGGGAAGAATTTTGGGCCAGGAGCTGCACCTCAGGGAGGGGACAGTTATCTGACCTGCTCAGTCCCTCCCACATGGCTTCCCCAGTTTTTTCCCTGAAGACAGAGGAAGCTGGGAGCAATCAGAAATCCGGACACACCGAGTTCTCAGCAGCTGTTTGTGGTCTACCTCAGTTGTGTAGACTGTGGCCCCACCAGCTCACCTATGAAGGCTGATGACAGAGCTGGCACTCACGCACAGGACACAGAGTCCTGTAGCCACCAGAATGTCAAGGCTGCATCGGTAGCAGCGGAGGGAGGGTTGCAGTAAAGGGTTCTTTGGAGAATGTGCTGTTGTGTTTCACTTTCTTCCTAGACTGGCTGAAGAGGGAAGTTAGGATCGCTTCAGAAGGCAGGGGAGGTATCAGTGACGTGGAAGAGCACCAAATACCCAGGCTTCTGCCAGCACAGAGGATTCTGGAGGTCTAGGGACAGTTGAGCTTTTGTTTCAGACTTGTGGTACTGATACAGTGTAGTCAGAAAGGCCAGAGGGAAGAGTGACTGTGGTTATAGGGCAGCCTGTACTTCCTGTGCATTAGTGGGCATGATGCCCATCTTCTCAGGGAGGGGACACGGGAAGGAGCAGGACTGGGGCCATCTGGAAAAGCGTTGCCTATAAAACAGTGGCCAAGGAAACAAAGAGGGCTGAACCAGCAGAACTGACAAGAAGGGAGATGGGTGGCCATCCAAGACCCAAGAGCCATCAGGCCTGGGTGGTGAAGAGGTCACCTCAAGGGGTGACCTGTGGTTCCAGAAGCTCTGTGCCCACAAGTTTCAGAGCTAGGGATGGATCTCAGACAGGACCCTAGCCAGGAGCCTTTTTGTCCTTTGGTCTCTTCTGTATCCTAGGTTTGTCCCACTCTGGAGACTGTGGAAGTAGCAGAGTGAGGGGACAGCAGGAGAGGGTACAGGGGACAATGGAAGGTCAGTTTCATTCCTCTCGTTCTTCTGCAGGCTTCGGGCCAGAGGAAACAGGTGTGGGCTCTAGGAGAGGAGAGAAGCTTTGGAAAGAGATCAGAGTTTTGACGAGAATGTGGGCTAGACTGCTGAGGATCTGAAAGTGAGATCATTCTGCCTCTCTGAAAGGTCCAGAAAATCTGGGTCATCAGCCTGAAATAGGAGCAAAGGTGGAAGGAAGACAGCAAAGCTACAGGTCATGATGGAAGATAGGGGTAAGACAAAGATGACACTTCTGCCAGGTCCCCTCTGTGTCTGTCCAGCTATATAGGTTGACTTCACTCAGTGTGAGCTCTCCATTTCTTTTTAATTTAAAAGGCAGAAATTACAAAGACCCATTGCAAATACAACTTCTAAATGCGTAGCATTTACCATGGAGCACCCTGAAAGACTACATTGGTAGAGACTCTGCAAGGAAATCAGCTGTTTGTAGACTCCACAACATATAGAATGCCCAAAACATGTCTCTCCTTTCCAAGCTTTGCCTTTCTAGAGCATCACACAGCCTGCTGCTAACTGTCACCTGGTATTCCAAGAGCATCAGTGCAGGTGAAATGGTGCTTGGTAGCCAGCCATAGGGCAGCTCCCACATTTACTCAGATTTAACATTATTTTTACTCCTTTTCATCTCCAAGTGTTCTGGGATCAAGAGAAGCTCCATCAAGATCTTGAGAAGTAGATCCCGTGGATGGAGACAAGACGGTGAGCTTGGGACACCATATCTAAAGGAGATGCATTTGCTCCTATCTTTCCTGGCACCTCCAATGGACCCAAGAGGCTCTGTCTGAGAGGAGAGCAGTCATACTCACTCTTCATTGACAAAGATGAGTTCCACAGAAGTTTGCCTTTTGTTTACGTCAAGACCTACAGTGGTAAAGAAACACAGGAAGTGAAAACCGAGGCTAGAGTGGACGCTACAGGGAAGTCCAGGGGTCAGAGCAGGGGCACAGGTGACCTCCTCCCCTTCTCTCTGGTCTGAAGGTACGGTGGGGCTGCAGATGCGGACAGACCCCAGAGTTTTGCAATAATGCTTGAGCACCGGGGACAAAGAGAAGGGGGTGGGTGCCTGGAAGCAAAGTAGGAAGGAAGAGTGCGCGTGGGTAAAGGGTACTCGGGTTATGGGGGAAGGGGTGTGAAGATGAGGGGATGGGCACCAGTGGACAGTGTCTCCATGGAGACTGGCAGGGAACCCAGAGAGGAGGGTGGAGAAGCAGAGGGGAGATGAGCTCTCGTGAGCTGTACCCATGAGCTCTGCCTCCTCAGAGCTGGAGTTGCCTGCCCCCAGCTGTTCCTCCTCGGTGGCGTTGATGAGCTCCTGCAGCACGGCCTCCACGATGGGCGTCACCATGGCGGTGGTGGAGGTGTTGGAGAGCCACATGGACAGCATGGCGGTACAGCACATGAAGCAGAGCAGGAGCCTGGGAGGCGGGGACAGGCGGGAAGAGCGTTAGCCTACTGCGAATCACGCCCTTCGCTCCGCACAGGGTGCAGTCAGCTTCCAACTCCCCACAGAGTTGGTGCAGAGTAACCTGGATTTCAGCTCTGGTCCAGCGAAGGATTCGGATTGCATGGCTAGTACCCTTGGCCAGGAAAAAGCCCTTTGAGAAGGAAAGGATACCTTTGGTGGGAAGGGTACGAACTCACTCTTCTTGCTCTGTGGGCATTGGGTGGAGCTCTGTAATGTGTCTCTTAGGGACAAGGGGGTTCTTCTCCCCCTGCCTGCAGCCAGCAAGTCTGGGGCACAACGGCACCCCTTGCTCTGTGCAAGTCAACATAGTGATTTGGGAGCAAACAGATGAGTGTCTGGCACTCAGTTCTCCCTACTGCTTGTCTCAGCATCAGCTGGCTGCAAGGATGGCCACAAAGCCACAGAAGCGGTGCCTGTCACTCTGTGTGTGTGCGCGTGTGTGTGTGCGTGCGTGTGTGTGTGTGTGTGCGTGCGTGCGTGCGTGCGTGCGTGCGTGTGTGTGTGTGTGTGTGTGTGTGTGTGTGTGTGTGTGTGTCCAGCTGGTCACTAGAAAAGTCAAGCCTGGAGGAACACAGAACAAAAGTAACCTTCAAGTTATTTCCCTTTGACCTTGAAGCACAGTGCAAGCTGTGCCTCACAGACCCGGTGCTTGTTGTCATTAGATAAGCCGAAACAAAGATGATTTTCTTTATATTTTAGGTGACTTTGCACAATCTGGGGACAGCACATATGTGGATTGTGCCCAAGTAGGGCAGAGTCCTGCCGGTGTTTTGTTTGAGCTGGCAGCAGCACAGTTTGAATGCTTTGCACACCCACTGGGAGCATGCCACGCCGGTGCAAACTTGCTTGGGTAGTGTGGTAAACACAGAAGAAGGGAAACACAAACGGGTGAAGATTCTTGTTGATAGCACCGAGCTCTCAAGAGCTCTGCAGGGGCTGGAGATATGGCTTGGGGGTAGAGGGCTTTCCTAGGGCGAGGGCTTTGGCCTGCTTCCCTCCCTCCTTACACACACACACACACACACACACCCCTACTCATACACAAAAGCAACAAAACAAAACTAAAACAAAGGAGCCACAAGGTCCCAACTTGCTGGAAGAAATGCCCCTGTGTGCCTGGGAAGCTGAGTGGGCAGACGGTTGCTGGGCCTACAAGGATTAAGCTGTAGTTAGCCACTCCCCTTAGCTACCTGGGAGACAGGAACATGCTGTATAGTCCCGACATATTAGTGTAAAAGACTAATGCTGAAAACTAAGGCTCCATTATTTACAGTTTGCCCCTCCAACTGGTGAGGCAGCTTGCATAAGACGTAGTGAAAAGTTATGAAGTACGAGTGGAGAAGGGAAAGACAAAGAACACGGGAGATCCAGAGCAGTGGGAGCCGAGCGCCCACAAAAACGGTCCACCTCGATGCCCCCACATATTCTTTGAGGGTGAGCATCTCTCCTTCGTTGGCTTCTTGATGGCAGAGTGGAAGGAGAAAGAGACAGCCTGTGAGGACACGGTCAGACACGGCTCACCTGCTGGATCAGTGGTCTGAACCCCCCCCCTCCCCCAGCAACTCGGGTGGATGGGAAGAGATGCCCACATTTTCTCAAAGGACGTCGGAAGAGCCGCCCAATCCTTTGTCCAGGGCGCACCCTAACCTACAGGGCAAAAATTGGGAGACTATTTCTCTTGGCCGTTTTGTGCTCTAACAAGGCTCTAACAAGGCAGGTTGCAAACCTGCCGTCCCTCCAGTCCAGGCTGTGGGGGTAATGCCTTAGATTTAGGAGATAGTTGTATCAGGGCGGCTGTTCAAATCTCTGCTCCAGGGTTATGGGACCTCTTTCGTGGATGCGGGAGGTGAGAGTCCTCTCCCCACCAGCAGGGGAACTCAAGTCCGCAGCCTGCTGTGACTCAGGCCACTGCCCCCGTACCCCACATGGGACTCACATGCCCGGCTTGGCTCCGGCCATCAAGACCATGCGCAGGGCGATGCGCTTGTGTAAATTCCATTTCTCTACAGCCGCCGCCACGCAGATGACACCCACCAGCAGCAGCGTGGTGTTCTTGAAGTACTCGGCCGCCACCTGTGGGGAGGGTGGGAAGGTTAGCCACCAGCTGGGAAAAGGGCCATGGCCAGTACCGTGTGTTCTGAGAGCCAGAGGCTGGCAGAGGAGAAACAGGGAGGCGAGCCTTTTTCAGATAGCTGGTTATTTCCTTCCCTTAGCTTCCTTCAGTCCTGGGATCAAACCCAGGGCCTTCCCCATGCTGGGCAAACACTCTACCACTAACCTCCACCATTAGTTAAAATAGTTGGTGATTTAGAAACAGTAACTCCTGAGGCTGGAGAGATGGCTCAGTGGTTCAGAGCACTGCTTGTTCTTCCAAAGGTCCTGAGTTCAATTCCCAGCAACCACATGGTGGCTCACAACCATCTGTAATGACATCTGGTGCCCTCCTCTGGCCTGCAAGCAACATTCAGGCAGGACACTGTACACGTAATAAATAAATAAACACATAAATATTTAAAAAAAGAAACAGTAACTCCTAAGCTCCAGTTGGCCTTGGACATCTGCCACATTAAGCTCTTCACAAAGGCCATTTCATGCCACCCCTCCGATAGCTTCATGTCACCAATAGTCTCTGTAGAAAGCGCTAAACTTGAATTCGATATGAATGCAAGTTTTTCTTTAATAAATTTATTTTTATGACTGTGAGTTTTAAAAAACTAAAATATATACATATATATTTTATTTTGATCTTAAAAAATTATTAAAACAGGATGTGGTAGCATAGACCTGTGTTGGGATTATAGTCAAAGTTGTCACGCTCAGTGGGAGAGAATTCTTGAAGGTATTATTACGGTTTGCCTTCCTTTTCTCATGTTTCACTCAAATGAAGAAAAACTGACATATTAATAAAGAATAAAATTATAGACTATAATTAATTTTTCATCCTTCACTTTGGTTAACTTTCCCTTTTCACCCCCCTTGTCTCTCCTGTACATGCCCCCATCCTTGTTGAGTCTCCCCTCCCCCAGCGTTCCCCTTTCTCATCACCTGTGTTCTGCTGTGTTCTCACTGGGAACACTCTGTCTTCAGCTCTGGCTGTACCTTCAGAACAGACTTCAAAGCCAAGTTCAGGCCAGGTGCCCTCCAGAACACCTTCCTGTGGTTCTAGCCTTTGATCGTTCCCTGTGGACGCTATTAATTCCGTACACTGTAGGGTGCTTGGGGCAAGGCTGGGATTGTGGCTTTAGTTAATTCTGTACATTGTAGAGAGCTCAGGGCAAGGCTGGGGTGGTGGCTTGAGGTATGTACTGTGCTTTGGTTACTTTTTACATCTGTCTCTTCAGACATTATTAAAAATTTTGGATTGCCAACAGTGGAATAACATGAAAAAGTAGATGACAGTCACACGGTTGGAAGAACCATGGCAGAAAGGGAGGAGTTGAACTTTTAAAGAGCATTTTTAACTGCAGGAAAAAATAATTGAGCAGCAAAGGACATTTAAATATAGTAAAATATGTGGGACTGGCAGTCAATAATATTGCCATAACCACACTAAGAGTTTCCTTTTGGTTATTGGATTAAAAGAAGTTGGGGGGAGGCGCTAGAGAGAGATAGCTTGGTTGGTAAAAGTATGTGCCAGCCAGCCTGATGATATGAGCTTGGCTTCCCTGAGAGTACACGTAAAAAAGCAGGGACCTGTAATCCCAGTACACCTATGGGGAGATGAGAGATGGAGACAGGACAGTCATGTGGAAGCTCTCAGATCAGCTAGACTGTCCCAGAAACAAGAGAGACTCTGCCTCAAACAAGGTGGAAGGCAAGGACTAGTTTCTTAAAATTGTCCCCCGGCCTCCACATATGTGCTGTGGTGCATACATACCTGTAGACACCACCCCTCCAATATAGTTAGTTACTTACTGGAGAATGAAGGAGGCACAGTGGGGACTGAAGAGAACACAGGCCTTACCTGCCATAATGGGAGGTGTCATTTAATCATGTCTAAAACCAGTGACTCAGTGGGAATATGGTGATTAATGCCAGAGGGTTAGCATAGGTGAAAGACATGGCGTCCGAGGCTAGATGGGTGGGACTTAATAAGACTGAAGTGAGGAAGAGCTGGGGAAGGGCATGGATGGCTTTCATGATAGACTCTTGATCATTCAGGTTTAAACTTTGTTCAAATAGCCCTTCATAGCCACAACAAAGGCACCTGCTCTATTTCTTTTCATTCTTTTTTTTTTTTTTTTTTTTTTTTTTTTTTTTTTTTTTTTTGTCCCATGGAAATTTCATAAGTGTTTTTCACAGTGTGGTTCACGTCTGTGACCACTTCCAAGGAGGCAGAGCCCTGGTCACTAATGCTCCCAGAGGCCATAGACGGTCTCCTACTATGAGTGGTTTGAAACTTTTCTGGGCAAGACGCTATCCCCCAGGAGGAGCATGGCTGGGATGCTGGCAGGCTCTGCTGTTGGGGCTAGGACCTCTCTAGTTTCCTTCCTAGGCTTCTGTGGGATAGTGCCAGGAGCGATCATTGCTGTATGGGACCTCTTGCAAAAGATTGACAGCATTTTTGGGGGCCAGAAATGGTCCCTGCTTCTGCCTGCTCTTATTGGAATTTCATAAATGAGGTCCTCAGAATGTATAACCATTACCCTGATATCCAAAATCTTATTAAAGAGGGAGAAAAGACCCTCAAGGAGAAAAAAAAATGCTGGCAATCTTTTTTACAGCATACAGCAATGATTGCTCCTGGCAGGTTAGCTTGGGGACAGGCTTGTATTTTCCTTTGTCTATGGAGAGGCCACCACACAGCAGATATGAGACATGGAAATTGTGGCCAATGGTCCCTCTGCTACCCTATGACCCCTGCCTCCCGATACTGAAAAGTTAATGAAACTGTAATTCTTCTTTTAGGAGCTGGTAACAACAGCATGTTCTCTATTTCTTTGGCATGTGTCATCCCTTAACACCAGTTTGTCTGTGATGTCTTTCAGAAGGCTCAGTGCTTCACAGAGGTGGGACTTCTTTCTCTGGGTCCCACCCAAGGGTGAGAGGAAGAACATCAAGAAGACTGGAGCACCTTCTACACTCCAGGTGCTTTGCAGTTTGCACTTGTGTTCTCTGAGCCCCACAGAAGTCCTGTTGGATGTATACTGGTCGTGTCTAACTTTAAGACGAGTGGACTCAGAAAGGCTGAGGAACCTGTGTGAAGTCACAGTGCAAGGGCAAAGGTGGGGCATCCAAGCATAGCTGATGCTAAAACCTACTAGGTAACATGATGTATGAGGCCGGGCAGTGGTAGCACATGCCCATAATCCCAGCACTCGGGAGGCAGAGGCAGGCAGATCTCTGTGAGTTCGAGACCAGCCTGTGTAGGGGACACCTTAACCATGCCTGCTAGGGGCTGGCTACAGGTATGCCTGACCACGCCTGAGAGGGCGTGGTCAGGGTGACGGTAGGGAAGGTTTAAAGAATGAGGGGTGCTCATGTGGCCTTCCCTTCTTCCATTTCATCTTCGGCTTGCTGTACTTACTTCTACCCTGCCGGCTGGCTAGGTTGCTCTGTAAGTAAGGCCTTTCCCTAGTAAATTCCCTTATATTTTTACCTGACTCCGTATTGGTAATTACCACATTAAGCCTACTCTACAAGAGCTAGTTCCAGGACAGCCTCCAAAGCCACAGACAAAACAAACAAACAAACAAACAAACAAACAAAAACAACATAAAAACATGGTGTATGAGGTGGACCAACCAACCAGAAACCAGCTGGGAGCAGACCTTTCAGTTTCTGGGAAGCACAGGCCGGCATCCATTTCTAACCTTCATCCACAGTCACAGTCCTAACACTGGCCCCAGACTGGGTCAGTTCTGCTCCTAGGAACTTTCATCAAAGCCTGACCCGGTCTGGGGCCATCAGCACACTGAACAGACTCATGCCCAGAGCTAAGCGACAGGGCTGGCTGCTTCGTCACATAGGTAAGTGAAAGCCCTGCTCAGTGGCAGCTTCTGTGACTTTTCCAGTCCATTGACTTTTTTTCCACCATAAGGCCCGCTTCTGTAGAGCCCTCCCAGGGAATCCCCGAGTCTCCAGATTCCTAAGGATTATCTTAACCGAGTTATCAAGTGTGCTACCTGCTTCCTGACTTTATTAGGGCTCCCACTTTGTCTCAGCCTCTTTCCATCATGGATAGCCCTCCTGCGTCCTACTCGCAGGCCAGCAGTGCCCACACAGGGCCATGTATGCCTCACTAGCTGCTGCCAGAGCTGAGTCTCCCTTTCCATGTCCACATCTTATACTTTTTCTATCTTGTTCTCAGGCCATGAAGTGTCCTTAGCTGCCCTTTCCCAAGTTCTAATACTTGTTGGCTTGGAAGACCTGCTAGCAGAACCTGTTAGAGTTATCTATAGGAAGCGCTAGGTCCTAACAGAGCGCTCTTCCCAGGAAGACAGCACATGGGTTTGTGATGGGTGTGGGCAGCTATTGCCTTCTCGGCCTTAATGCTCTGTGGCTTTCCTCAGGCACCATGTCCTTGACCTTGGAGCGTTGGGAGATTGCATTTTAGAAGAGATGGGTTCTCCTTGAAAAGATGTCATCACAGAGGGAGATGGTGAGGAGCCTGGGCTTTGGAGATCAGCCAGTGGCTGTTCACCCTACCTAACACCCACCCATCCCACCCACGAGCTGGAGGCTCTAGGGCAAGCTAACGAACCCCATATTGGTCACTCCAGCCTGTGAAGTGGCAACAGCAGAGCCACATAGCTCACTAAGTAATAGTCATAGCCTTGGCAGCCCTGAGTGAGATGGAACAGCTGGGCCCTAAGAAGTGCTCAGCAGGAAGTACTTATCAAAAAAGGAAAAGCAATCAATGCCAGGGGCTGCAGAATGAGGAGTAGGTCGGCCAAGACAAGCAAGTGGAAGGGATGAGAAGATACAGGAGGGACAGGGCAGACACAAGAGACAGAAATCCCTCCAAGGACTGGAGGACTTTGAAAGAGCTACTGGCTTGGCCTTGGTTTGGGGGACAAAAGCCATAGGATGCCTGTTAACTAACTAGTCCTTTGTTAGGGAATTGCAGGTGA